TTCTTGCTTAGGATCAGGTTCAATAAGGATTACTGTAAGGTAATATACCAAGAAGCAACATATTTTAAATTTAGGGTTTTAATTTATTTCATTTAAATGAGTCAGAAAAACCCAAGTTAAAAAATTAAAGTGCCGATAGGTTGGTAATGCTACTTAAAGGGCAAAATGTTCATTGGAGTTTTAAAACCCCATCTATGTGTTGTCTACAAGTGACACACATAACAAAAATATATAGAAGGCTGAAAGTTAAAGAATGAATAATGGAGAAAAAAAAGAATGAATAATGGACTTATATAGCTGCTTTAGACTGTCAATAATATAAACAGATATCATTACTAACCATGAAGAGGTTGACATTATATAGATAAAATGTGATGTTCTGTAGGAAGAGATCACAATTCTAAACATGCATCCCCTAATAATGTAGGCTCTAAATATACAACCCAACAATTATAGAATTACAAAAAGACTTATCATATAAAATCCTCACATAAGTAATGTGCCCATACTCGGGGGATGGGGGCATAAAACAGTTCAAGAAAATGCAGGTAAAAGATAATGAAATCTACCCATTAGCTTTTCTTAAACCGCCTCATGTAACCCAAACACATCCTCACTACCACTGAGCTGATGCCGACTCAGAGTGACCCTCTAGGGCAGACTAGAACTGGCCCTGACGGTTTCTGAGACTGGAGCGGCTGGTGTTTTGGAATTGCTGAACTTTCCTGTTTGCACACTCATAACACACATAAATATCTAATGCGTAAGGGGGTTGTGCAGTTTGCAAACACTATATAACGTGTGCACTATCAGTGTGAAACCTTGGCGAACAATGTTCTAGGCATCACTATCATCATGAAATCTTTAAGTAGTTTCTTCTCTATAACTGATAGATGAAGGAGACAAAGCAAATAGAACACATGGACAATTAAATGAAAAGCATGCCCAATGCAGCATAAAAAGCCCAGGCATGAAGCAGCAGAAAATAAGCACCCTTTTCCAGGTGTTTTGTTGTTTGTTCCTGGACCTTATACACAAAAGGATTGGCCTGTGAGATGCATAAAACCAAAGCCAAGCTCACTGCCACTGAGCTGATGCTGACTCATAGTCACCCTATGGGACAGAAGAGAACTGCCCCGCTGAGTTTCTGAGACTAACTCTTCACGGGAGAAGACAGCCTTGTCATTCTCCCTTCAGGTGGCTGGTGGTTTCAAACTGCTGGCCTTGAGGTTAGCAGCTCGATACTTAGTGTGATCCATATGGTTTTCACCAAATCATGTCAGTTTAGGTAAGATTTTTACAACCAAATAAGTTAAGAATATATGTTCAGCTTCCGGGGGTTTTCTAATTTTGTAATTGTAGATAAGGGATTATGTATGTATAAACTCAAAAAGCCAAACTTATTGCCATCAAATTGAATCTGACACATGCGACCCTTCAGAACAGAGTAGAACTGCCCCTGACTGTGGGTGTCTGAGAATTCCAATCTTTCCAGGAGAAGCAGCTCAATGCATAGCTCACTATCCCAACAGGGCTCCTGGTGGAAGCACAGCAAGCACCAATTCAGGGCCCCAAATTGAAGGAAGCCCTGATTTTAAGGTTGGTAAAGTACGGTTTCAGTTATAGTTTTATCTGTTATCTGGACCAAGTCCTTAAAACTTGGTGGCCCACAGCCCATAATACTCACCTCTTTGCATTGCTGAGAGGTGTCTGAAATAAAATGATGGATACTAGACTTGCACGTAATCTTCACGACAGCCCAAATGAAGTATTGTGGTGTAGTGACATTTCTTAATAATGTTCTTCTATCCATATCTCTGATTGGGTGGCACCGGGCAAACTGAGTGCGTGTAACACTCAGAGAAGGCACTGGTCAGTTTTAGTTGCAACTCCCCTATCTACAAAGACGAGCCATCTCAGAAGCAGGAAGAGAGAGAAAGCAAGGAAGAAGAGTCACTAGTGGAGCACATTTCAGATCTCTGTCTGAAGCAGCAGAGGCAAGGAGACCATGAGGCAAAACAGAGGTGTAGCGCAGAGACAACAAATAAGACTGGGAGGTGGAGAAGTGGTCCAGCTTCCTGGCCCATAGGGGCAGAGGCCAAGGGACCACCACAGGGCTGAGAGGCTGAGGACCAGAGACAGACACTTAGCTGCTGGCTGAGGAGAGGTGCTGCTGTGGACCAATGACGGTGTCTTTAGTGTTTACTGATACTGACTTGTGAACTTCCCTAATGAACCCGCCAAATGATTTTTTTCCAATTCCTGTGCGGCCATTGTAAAGAATTGTTGAACCCATCAGAGAAACAGCGTCCTGGGAGGAAGAGTTGTCAGAGTAGGGTCCAGCAGGATGGAAGACGGAGGCATGTATAACCTCTACTTAATGGCAACTGGCCTCGGGCTGATAAGGAGTTGGAGCCGTCTTCTCCCTAGTATAGCCAGAGGTCAGATATGGACCCTGGGATGTTTTCATAAGCACTTACAAAAAATAAAACCTATCGTTCTGACTCCTCGTGACCTTATGGGGCACAGAACTACTCCTTGAGGTCGGAGACTATAAATCTTTATGGGAGCAGACAGTCTCATCTATCTCCCTCAGACCAGCTGTTGGGTTTTACTGCTAACCTTTCAGTTAAGGGCCTAATTTTAATGTCTAACCCCCAGCACAGCCTCCTCCAGTGAAGTAAGGGTATTTAATACTGCCCTATTTCCAGATTGGGAACTGGGATACTTATTTGCTTGGGGTCATCCATACAGATAATGGGAAAGCAGGGATTTGAAGGGTCTGTCCAGATAACCCGTCAGCTATGCCTCCTGGGTGGGGGGGGTCATAGTGCCACGAACAACCAAAAAAACAGCCTCTCAGGAACAGGTGATGAACCTGCTTCCTGCTCACGGTCCCTTCCATCCACACAGCACTTAGGGACATTTGGGATGACCCAGTAGGTTAAGCTGGTTTACCTTGATAGCTTCTCAGCTTTCTCTTCACATCAAAGTAGAGCTCCGGAATGTTGCATGTTGTGCTAAGCTCCAGAGAGACAGCTTCTGGCCTTTCTAGTTTCACAGCCCAACTCCTAGACCAAGCAGAGGGCCAAAGACTTCATTAGTGGTCCCTTCCATTCAACTCTACATGGCCTACCTCTCCCCTACCCCATCCGGACTTACCTGTCCAATGTGTTCTTCACATCCTATAGAGGAACAGACACAAAAAGTGAATGTGAGAACTATTTAACATAAGGCGACCAGATGTCCCGCTTTTGGCAAGGGCAGTCCTGATTTTTAACAATTTTTCCTGTGTCTCGCAGCGTTTTTAAAAAGTCCCAATTTTTGGAAAGAATGCATGACAAGCTAGGGTATACGGTTTTTGGCTGCCATGTGGCTGTTTCGCCAGGATATGAGTTTTATCAATGGTGTCCTGCTTTACCAATGTTAAAATCTGGTCACCGTAATTTAACAGGACTTGGCAGGGGTGGGGGGTGGGCATTTCACTCTAAACCCTCTTCCCAAATAGCTAAAAAAAAAAGGGAGAGAGAGAGAGAGAGAGAGAAACCCCAGCCTTAGGAATTGCTTGAGGCCACAAGATACTCCTCCCATCCCAGCACCCTTGGAGAGTCTGCGGGATAGGATGTTTATGAACCTGAGTCTCCATTTCCTGTTTAAAGCCTGTGGGAAGCTGTAATGTTTACAATCACCCCAGCCTGGGGGAAGCTGTAAGGTTTACAAGCACAGTAGCCTGTGGGCTGCTTGGAGAAGGGGCCTGCTTTGCCCAAGCTGCTCCTTTGATGAGCCTGGCCTTCAGGGCTCCAATTTCCTTCTGAATGAGCACATACTGTAGACCTTTCATGGCAAAGGGCCTGAGGAAGGTCAGTAAGGTGGTGGAAGCAAGTATCTCACGTGGTGGTGCTCTAGCTACTCTTTCAACACTATAATGCTCTGCTGCTGGGAACCAGGGGTAATCACCCAAGGCATTCACCTTCCTGGGCTAGACCAGGGGTCTGAACACTTTTGAGATGGAAGATCCAAACTTGTCCCTCACAATAATTTTAAATTACTCAATTACACTAAAGAAATTAAATCACTATTCACTGAATAATATCCTTTAACATTTTTGAACTTTACATCAGAATCACATGTACATACTGAAAGAGGCGAATGTGGCCTGAGAACTGCAAATTGCCAACCCCTCCTCCCTCCCCCGCCAGGTGCTGCCTGCAGTTGGAATGAGACCTCGCAATATCTCAGGAGCCAGGGCTCTCCAAGCAGAAAAGGGAGAAGGTCCTCCCTCATTTCAGGAAAGCGTCTCGGTATCAGGAGTCTCTGCACAAAGGCCTGGGGGGGAATGGTGGTGCCACTTGTTCCAAGGTTCTGTTGGCTCACCAAGCTGTCCACACAGATCAGGTGGATTTTTCTAATTAAGCCCAGGCTCCCCTATAGACGAGTGCAGGCCACCCTAAAGACACTGATGTTTAGGAGGAACGTTACTTCAAGGTCCCCTGAGAATGTGCTACTGTGGAATGGCGCTTGGCGAGCTTTACCAATCTTTCCACACGTCCTTACCATCCTCACACACTGAATACTTTCCTTTCTTCTTCCCGCTCCATAGCCTCACCTGTAGCAATATCTGGGGTGAGCTCTGACATTTCAGCTCCAGCTCCATGATAGAGCACTTCAGTTCACAGTGCTTCTCCTCTAGTATTCCCTTATTGTACTTCAGTCTCCTTATTGTCTGCTCTTCTTCTCCTTTCAGCCTCCACAGATAAAACTTCTCCTCCTCATGCAAGAAACTGTGGAGATTCTTAAAGTCGGATTTTATTCTTTTTCTCTGAACGTCCATCTTCCCCTAAAGACAAGGGGAAAAAAATCCCTCAGTTATTGTGGCGCTATTTTTCCATGAGACACTTGAGCTAAATGGATGTTCCAGGTTTTCTGCTGTACGGCCATTCCTGAGAGGCAAAGAGTCAGGCACATTGTCCTGGATGGCCCATTATCATTTTATTTATTTCCCTCTTCTCCAGCCAAGATACAGGAGAAGGGTGTGGACCAGGGCACTGGCTGATTTTATCATTAACGTAAGGCTATATTTTGACACATTAACAGTTTGGAGAAAAGTCCATTTTTATTAGAACTCTGAGAAGGTATCTTGCCACCACTTGTCTGTCAGTTTGCCATGCTGTGGTTGCCTGTGTATGCTATCAGGCTAGAAGCCATGCCACCACATTTCAAATACCAGAAGGGTCGCCCAAAGTAAACACATTTCAGTCGAGCTTCCAGACTAAGAAGGGACTACTAAGAAGGAATAGGCTGTCCACTTTGGAGGAAGTAGCCATGGACAACCTTATGGATAGCAGAAGATCAAGAGGTAGGATATGAGCACGTACCAATGGTATTCGAGAAAACAGTCCAAGCTGTACTGGAAGTATGAGCCAAAACAAGGCTAATGCCAATGGGAATGTTCCAACAGGCTAACGAAGTACTAGAAGTACTCGCTCATCTATGCCAAGAAATTTGGAAGCTAAGTACTTGGCCAAACGACTGGAGAAGATCCGTATTTGTACCAATTACAAAGAAAGGTAACCCAACAGAACGTGGACATTATCAAGAAATATCATTCATATCACATGCAATTGGAATTTTATAGAACATCATTCAGCACTGGCTGCAGCGGCACATTGACAGGAAGCGGCCAGAGGTTCAGGCTGGATTTCGAGGAGAATGATGGATAACGGTGATCATGGCTGATGCCAGATGGATCTTGGCAGAGAATACCAGAAAGGGATTTACTTGTGTTTTATTGACTATGCTAAGACATTCCACTGTGTGGATGATAACAAACTATGGATAGCCTTGAGAAGAATGGGAATCTCAGAATACTGTATTGTGCTCATGCAGAATCGTACATGGATCAAGAGGCAGTTCTGAAAAGAGAACCAGGGAATACTTCAGAGATTAAAACCAAGAATGGTGTGTGTCAGGGTTGCATGCTTTCACCATTCTGTGAAGCAAATAATCAGAGAAACTGGATGATATAAAAAAGAATAGGGCGCCAGGAATGGAGGAAGGCCTGTTAGCCACTTGTGATACACAGACGGCATAGCCATGCTTGCTGAAAGCGAAGCAGACTTGGAGCACTGGCTGATACAATTCAGCGATGGCAGCCTTCAGCATGAAGCGCAACTCCATGCAAAGAGAACCAGATCCTCATAACTGGACTAATAGGCAGCATCATGGTGAATGGAGGAAAGATGGAAGCTGGAGGAACACAGCAGCTGCAACAATGGGCTCAAAGAGAAGAACAGCTGTGAGGATGGGGCAGGACCAGGCAGAGTTCCATTCAGCTGGAGCTCGAGTCCCTCTGAGTTGGACGCACCTCAACCGCACCTAACAAGGGAAAAGCTCAGGAGGCAAGAAAGGACAGGCAAGATGAACTAATGGAAAAGGCAGACGCAAGAAAAGTATGTCGGCAGGCACCTACCAACAATAGCAGGTACCCTGCAGTCTAAGGGAAGTTCTTGAAGCAAAGCTTCGTAGTATCAACAGGATTGCCATCGCAGGTAACCAGACTGATAGAAAAGTCTGTAATTCTCAGCAGGAGGGTGGGGGTGTCCAAGATTGGCATAATTTTATTATATGTTAACTGAGTATTATTAATTTATGAGTTCAGGGTCAAATGAACAATTTAACCATCCCTGTATAAGATGGTCAGAAACCTAATGATATATTTTATGGAAGACATAGAGTCATAATTTCTAGTAGTGTTTCCTCAATTCATGAGGTCTTTCAGTGCCTTCTGACTTGGTAGAAGAACCATTGATTTAGGATGAAGAGGAAGGTCTCTTTTGAGAAGACAGATGTAACCTTTACTCTTGAGTTGATAGGATTTCCCTATGTGAGTATTTTGGTTACAGGTAAGTCTCTGTCCGTTCCCGAAGAGCCTAGAAATGAGTTTCCTTTGAGAACTTAACTTCAAATTTAACAGACAAAAAGGATTAGGGCAGAGATTTGAAAAGGACCTCCGAAGAAGCAGAGCAGGCCTGTGGGCTTTGATTGCCCGCTGATGCATTATCAAAGGAAAAATCCTTTCCAAGAAGGGAAGTTTCTTTTGAGCAGGGGGCTAGCTGGCCATGGGAGTATCCTCCGAGTCCCGAGAGTCTGGCAGTTACTGGTAGGAAGGTTTCTGCAGTAGTTATGGGCCTCCTTATACACCAATGAGTTTTCTACACCAGCGTCATATGCTGGAGGACTATGAGTCTGTTTCTGAACGATCATAAGTTTTCTATTCCATCTGGTTATTTTAAACCATAAGGTCAAAAGCCAAACCCTACACTGTGGCAATTGTGCCAAGCTCATTAGGTTGGGGCCTGCACATGAGTCAAGTACTTAAAATGCAAATTACCCAAGGCTGGTTCTAAGTAGATACACAGATTCTTCTGCTGACAAACGTATCAGGAATTCTAGCCTACTGTTGGAAGGTTGAAGGGAAGGGAAGTAAATTCTCATGTATGTAGACAAGTAGAGGCCACCTGTGTCAGGAGAGACCAGCCGCTGACAACTATCACAGGTTTGTAGGTGCAACCGTAAGGTTATAATATGTAAAGGTTATTGTAAAGTCACAGAAGACAGGAGAGTGAGTAAAATAAAGGAGTCAGACACATTTCATAGTAGCATGCTCACCTCAGCCCCTCTTGGTGGTCCACGTGGAGGTGCAAGAGGAAAAGAGGGCAGGAGAGAGCCAGGCGGGGAGAGGGAAAGAGGGGGACCCGAGAGGAGAAAGCGATTTATTTATCACCAAGGCTTTTATATCTTTGGGGGTGTACAAGCTCCCTGATTACAGGTAATGACCTATGTCACAGGAAGGGATAGCACCATAGGCAATACAGGATAGGGATGATCTAGGGGTGTACACGCTATAGGAAGAGGAGGAATTAAGGGTACTCATGTGACAAGATGAGCAATCCCAGATTCACGATGGCAGTTTAACCTTGATTGTCCTTGAGCTGGAGAACTTGATTTATTGTGAGACCTCCAGGAAAAGCAATCCACTGTCCGGGACAGTAGGGAGTGAGCCTCACCTATGGTGGGCCAGACAGTAGTCTGAGAGCTCTGGATGGCTGATGCCTTCAGGGAGATAACTTGACAATCATTTAGCATTAGTTGCAAGCAGTGTCTTAGGTCCTTGAAGGAGACAAGCTGGGGAAAGGCCTTTTTTATATCCCACACACCTGACATAAAAACAAATAATGGTTTCCTCCTTGAGTGTCAGTTATTTGGTTTGGTTTAGTGAGAATAAACCAGCATGGTCTTAGCCGCAACATCCCCGTGGTCTGTGCTCTGAACTAGAAAACAGCCTTGAGATCAATACACTCAGATGCTTACCTTCCATTCAGTTATTTGCCGTGTTGTCAAAACTTTTAGATTCATACATTCATTGTTGAGCTGGCTCAAGTATGTCACTGCTTCCAGGAGCTTTTTCTGAAGGAAAAATAGGGTGAGTCGAGTCAATCAAATTGCCGATACTAATTGGGTCTCTTCCCATGTGAGCTCCTAAGCCCTTCAAGAAAAGTTAGAGAAACAAGACTGTTTCTCGAGTCCTATGGTTTGACGAGCCCTTGCATGAAACAAATGGTTATGCACTGGAGAGCCAGACAAAAGGTTGGTGGCTCAAACAGACCCAGAATTGCCTCCGAAGACAGGCCCAGTGATCTGCTTCTGAAAAGTTCTCCGCCTTGAGAACTTGCTGAAGCAGCTCTGATATGCACGCAACAGGTGACCATGAGTTAGCAACTAATGGCACCAACTGGCATTGTTTTACAGGGAGAATGCTAAGGGCTCTTTCTGGAATAGCCTATTCAGGCCCCTCAGCAATGGATGGAAGTCTTAACATTTTGGATTGCAGTAGAAACGAGGCTTAGGAAAGTCTGTGTCTGTGGATAACCATTAGCCCGAGCTGCTCCTTTTCTCGCTATGTATGAGAGGATGTTGGGGGGAGAGTGATTAAAATGTGAATATTCACATGACAGCTATGAGTTGCTCCAAGAAGGTTAAGCGTTACTGTATGCTGAGGTGGAATCAGTACTGACATGTCCTTATGAAGAATCAAGAGCTTTAATATAAAACCATCTCAGTCTCCTGTAGTGGGGAACCAGGAGGCCCACCAGTGGACAATAGCTTCTGGCAGGGAAGAGAAGAAATGAGGTCACAGGACTATTGTCATTGTTCCTTTATTTTCCCAAGGTGAAGGGTGAAAACCCACCGCCTCGCCCTCCCCGGGTTCATCTACAACTGTTCAAGTCCTTTGCTTTCCTTCTTAAATCTTCCTTGAAATGTTCTTCTCTTCCCGCACTGCAATAACTGGAATTTTACTCTTTGATAGTCCTTAGGTTTTATCCGTGCAAGGATAATCTTTCCTTTTGGGAACTTCATCACCTCGAGGTTACGCATTTTGTATGCTACATTTGTTTTTGTAGTTGTTGCCTTCGAGTGGATTCTGACTCATGGAGACCCACGTGTGCAGAGAACGCTGCCCCCTGGGATTTTCAAGGCTGTGATCTCTCTGAGGTTCCTCTGAGTGGGTTAGAATGGACAATTATTTTTTGTTGTTGGCGTTATAGTGTCTAGAGTTAGCGAGATATCCCAGCACCTAACTTGCAGGATGTCAACAATATTCAAGTAGTGACAAAACACACGGTTCCTGAATTTTAGTGCACATCAGGATGACATGAAAGGCCCGAGCAAACAGATTACTGGGCCCTATGCCTGGAGTTTCTGCTTCATTAACTTTATAGAAGCAGAATATATTTCAGCTTTTTCTTCTTCTTTGTAATTGTGCTTGTCGGTTCAATGCTAGGAACAGTTTTATAAATGGATTGCAAGTACGTGATAACAATATGGTAATAACAAGACCCTAAACATTTGTTGGTGATTCCCCCTGCCCTTTATTTTTAATATATTTTAAGATATTACTGGCGTCTAAAAATTCTTCCTTACCATTATGGTAGAAACTTCTTTAAGCTCTATTTAAACAGATTATGGAATCTTCTGCATTCCATCTTTATAACACACAGACTGAAGCCCAGAGAGATGAGGCTCATTCCATTGTGCCAATGCATCTCCCCGCCAATTGAACTGACAATTTTTTCAGCTAGTTATTGAGTGTTTAATTACAGAAAAAAAAATTTTTTTTTAGTATCACCCAGGGACTTCTCAGTGTTATTTTCAATGTCAGCTTGACCCATGTCCAAAATGGACATCTCCTAGAGATCTGTACCATGTTGGGCGAGGTGGGACTCGAGGCTGATAGCAAGGCTCCAGGCCCCAACATTCTTTCCTATGTCCTCATTTGCCTTTCCTCTATACACAACCGCCGTCCTGGTCACCATGCATCTGGAAAGCTCTCACGGTCATCCATTCGCACAGGTGATCTCCTTTGCCTGAAATGCCATCTCTTTGCTCCATCCTTCTATGTGTGATTAACTTGCGAGTCCTTCAAGAGCCACTTTCTTTCTTGTTTTTTTTTAAACATTTTATTAGGGGCTCATACAACTGTTATCGCAATCCATACACACGTCAATTGTGTAAAGCGCATTTGTACATCATTCTCAAAACATTTTCTCTCCACTTAAACCCCCGACATTAGGTCCTCATTTTCCCCTCCCTCCCCGCTCCCCCCTCCCTCCTGAGCCCTTGATAGTTTATAAATGGGTATTTTGTCATATCTTGCCCTGTCCGATGTCTCCCTTCACCCACTTTTCGGTTGTCTGTCCCCCAGGGAGGAGGTCACATATAGTTCCTTGTAATCGGTTCCCTCTTTCCTACCCACTCTCCCTTTACCCTCCCTGTTTCGCCGCTCACACCACTGGTCCTGTAGGCCCTGGATTCCCTGTATTTTCAGTTCCTATCTGTACCAGTGTACATCCTCTGGTGTAGCCAGACTTGCAAGGTCAAATTCTAGTCATGGTAGTAGGAGCGGGGAGGAAATATTTAGGAATTAGAGGAAAGTTGTATTTCTCATCGTTGTTACATCGCACCCTGACTGGCTCATCTCCCCAAGACCCCTCTTCAAGGAGATCTCCAGAGCCACTTCTTTCAAGAAGTCTTCCCTGATACCAATAGCTCCTACTACCCTTTACCTCATGGGCTCTCAAACTTATTTGGTCTACCATCCTCTTGACAGAAAAAAAAAAAGAAAGAAAAAATATATATAGTTAGCATCCCCCTGATCATTAAAAATGTTTGTGCTATAGTTTATGAGGAGATACCCGCCCCCCCAAAAAAAACCCCAGATTTTTTCCAAAGTTATATATGGTACTTAAAATTCTTTTACAAAACAACCATATTGCCTTCAAAGTACTCTCCATTACACTAATAGATTTATCAAATCTGCAATTCCATCCTTGGAAACATTTTTCAAACTCATCTGTTTGGATGGCTGACAGAATCTGCCTTGTTTTCTTCACATCTTCAAATTCGTCAAATCACTGTCCTCTCATGTCCCTCTTCATTCGCAGAAACAAAAAGAAGTCACACTGTGCGAGGTCAGGTGAGTAAGGTATGTGGAGCAAGAGAGGCATGCTGTTTTTGACAAAACCTGGAGCACTGAGATGGTAGTGTGAGCAGGTGCATTGTCATGGTGGCAAACCCTGTCCCCCATCTGCCACAAATGAGGCCTTTTCTTATTGCACTGCTACACAACTTTTCAGAAGCTCTAAATAGGAAGCTTGATTCAGTCTGACCTGGTGCAACAAATTACAAATGCACTACGAGCCGATATTTTTGTCTGTTCAGGAAGTTGACGGACATCCAGAATGAGGTTTGCCATCAATCAACATTTCACCTTTTTTAAAATGAGAAAACCACTTGAGTTTATCCCATAGTGCTGTCCTTGTAAGCTGTGCTCAAGTTTCTGAGCAATTTTTCCTGAGAAAGAAACAAATTTCCACAGCCTTGCTGTTCTCTTAAATTGGCCATCATAAAAAATGAGTTTCGACATACCTTGCAGAGGGGTAGTGGGGAGATGAGTCACTTAGGGTTCAGTATA